TTTATAATTCTTTTCTTCCCAAAGCCATTATCTGATGATAATATGCAATGACAAGATCATGATTGAATTATTTTTGGTTTTACTCCCATGAGCCTTATTTACTCTTAATCTTCACTATAATTTGCTAGGCCTGTCATTCACCATGCAGATCGAAAGGAAGAATGTGCCACCTTTCAAAGACCCTCATTTCTAGATACATTAATACAGACACCTTCAAGAGCTGGGAAACAGAGTGACAAGTAGTGGATCCTACTCTCTGGTTAAAATTATTAGCACTTGTACCTCCAATGATTTATGAAGGAAACAGAAACATTCATTTGTTAATGTCTCTTGCTTGCACATCAGGAATTAACAAGAGCAGTAGAGATCCAAAAGAAAAATAAATGGCCAGTACGGGTGCAAAAAAACAAGAGGAGCAAACATTTTCCCCAAAGTACAAATGCAATGCAAATTTACACTGATGCACTGAAAATTAATGAAATGTTTGCTGGTATTATGGGGGAGATGGACTAACAGTACTGCTTTGAGCCCAGCATCTCATAGGCATAATTTAGATAAACCACAAAGCCACATAACGGGTGGTACAGAAAGCGAAATCTCATTTGAATTGCAGCGACAAACGGCAATGTAAAACCATGAATTTACTCTGTGAGAGCAAGGTAGTAAGTGCCTCTAAATGAAAGACAACATTTTCCTAATAAAGGCAGAAGATACAACATAGGATGAGTGACAGCAAAAGGCTTAGAAGCCAAAGACATAAAATACCAAGATTGTAGGTGAAGTAGTTTGTCCAATGTTTTAACGATTTATTGTTAATTTTTTTTATCTTCCCATATTTACAGAATCCTCTTTCTCTGGGATGTCAAAGCCAAGATATTTCCTCCCCATCCCATTCTCACACACACTGAGAGAGATGGAAATGCTAATATTTACAAGAAGCACAGAGCTTTCATGTTACTTCCACCATGGTTCAGTAGCTATGCGAGAAGTCTACCAGTAAACAAAAAGTGGTTGTGTGTCTTGTGTTATTGTTACAGTACAAGGGGTCAGGAATCATGCATGTGTTTTTTGGCATACAGTCAAATCTACAGGACTGTAATGGAAAGTTTATTTTCACTGGCTGCCTACACAAGTGACTACAGGTGGCAGACACCAACACGCTTGGATCAGCATTTCTGCGCTACACAAAAAGTGACCTGTAAAAGTAGGAAAGTAGCACTAAATTAAGAACCAAAAAAGAGAACAAAAAGACTGCCTTTCACTGAAGTGTAGTTGACTAAAGTGAGCCTATCCAATGTGAAGCGGCCATTTCTTTCAAGAACTTCTAACATATTCTTGAATAAGATTGTTGAAATCTTTGACAATTTCCACCTAAGTGGAGTTATTTATAGTGCAGTATCACTATGGAAGCAGTTTAAAAACCACCAAACAAACACAAGAAAACAAAACAAAGCAAAACCACCACCACCACCTGAAAAACCAACTCAGCTCTAAATAGAAAAAGAAATGATTGTCCCACATTTCAAACTGTGGTTATTTGCTTGTTTAGCTAATTTAGCAATGAATTCAGGCATTTATAAAGAAGGAAATACATCCAGTTTTTAAGAAGGGATACTATTAAAGTTCCAAGTGTCAGAATTTGACTAATTTTATCATCCTTTTTTATCTCCAAAGTCAATATAAACCTACTTACAGGATTATTTGCAAGAAGTACTTTAGCCAGGAAGAACCAGTAAGAGTAACTCAACAAGAATGTCTGGCTAAAAAGTGACTTCCATTATCAAAATCTGGGGATGATATAATTATTTTTGAATAATTATATATTGCAGTTAGTCTCCCTTCCTCCCTCCTCCAAGGTTAGGGGAAATAAACCTTAATGAACCAGAAGTCTACTTCCTTCAAAAGCCTTCTGTATTAATAGGAAAGCAACTCATGAAACTGTCAGGAAATAGGAATGGGTAGATGAGCCACATACTACCATGTGCTGGTTGTTACACTAAATTGATATGGAGGTTTTACTAATAAGACTTTATTTACCTCCAGTAGATTAAGTAATTTAATTCTTTAGAAGTAGATTCACAGAGCAGCTGTTAAAAACAAGGCTGCACCAACATTTTTCTTGATATAGAAAAAGAGGAGTGGCATCGCACAACCTGGACTCCATCCCCAGCTTTAGAGTTCTGCCCTACAAGCAGCCACTTGTGGATTTCAGAGCTAACTGTGCTACTGAAACAAACAGTGCAGGCTATAATTTCTTTCAGAACAAATGATCTTATTGTACCCACAATCTTGAGCCTCGTGGAAAGTTTGAATGCCTCCAGAAGGAGAATCATCCCCCAGAACACCAGGTGTTGGGCTTCTCTTTTTCCACTGCTTGAGAGCCTGCTCCTGTTTCCCCTCTCTTCCCACTCGCTCTCCTTTGCACAGTGCTCCCTCAGATCTTGCCTTCTTATCCCACACCTCTGAGCTGTCAGCAGCTACCCACCTTCCTGCTTGCCTAACACCTCGCTCGCCCTCATCTAACAATATCTGACACTCATCCTCAGCCTGTAATTTCTAGTCTGCTATTCCATATAAAACCATAACCTTCAATCTTGTTACCTTCCTTATGCTCGTTTTGTTTTCTTTCCACTCATTAAAACTCCCACTCATTACAAAACAGACAGTCCCACAACCCAGTTCTCCTTAACCCTTTAACAACCATTTCATTCCCTGTAACTACCTCTTCATGCAACTGCTCTGCGCTCTTGGCTTCTGTGACCTACCTGAAAAGGCCCCCACTGCTTTTCACAGACTCCCAAGTCCTCCAGTCTCTTCTCTCAAATATTTTGTCTCTACTTTCCATAATAAGATAGGTACCAGCATTCCCATTACGGATCTCCAACATGACTCAACATCACTGAATGCACTGAGGAAATATTCATAGCAAAATTTCACCATGGTTTCCTCTGCTATAATTGTCTTATTTTTCCCTTCACCACAAGAAGGCTGCCTCCTCCAACTCTATGGTACCAGCAGTCACAAATCCACTGTCTGCTCCCCACCTGTTACCTCAAGCCTCCTCTTCCTGTATCAGGTGGATATTCCTGACTTTTTCAAAGAGAAGTCTAAAAACATCTGACAGTTCTCTGACATTCTGTACACCAATCTTTCCCAAACTCAGAAAAATTTCAGGCCACCCGTTTCTCCTTTTCTAGTGGACGTTACAGTTTGGTGCAGACATACTGACTATATCTTCATAACTAAACCTTGGCCTCATATTCTCTTTTGATCAAAAATGTTATAAAGCTGCCAGGTGCCTTTAGAGAATTCCTAATTCCCTGTAAGAAACAATGCCAGAAGATGGGCAATTATTTGCACAAAGTGCCATCTTAACTAGGAATGTCACATAAGGCTGACTCAGACTGATACTAAACCCAACCTTTATGCACAGAAACCTTACGGGATCTCTAAGCTTCATTCTCCACTGCATCACACACTGGTTAATCATCAAAATCAGTGCAGAGAAGGCACAAAATTCTCGTGGAAGAACACTTAATCTTGTGCAGCCACAAGTGACACAATTCATTTTCCACCAGTGAATTTCTGCATCCCCATGGGTCCCTTCTGCGCTTTGGATGGAGCTAATTCAGGGCTGCCTATTTGGCTTGTAGCACGAATATTAGGTTCAACTGTGAGGATGTATGCAAGTCGTCTCTGTCACAGAGGCAAGGAAACAGTGCCTTACTGTAGAAGCCTGAAATCAAAGCTCTCAAGAGTAAGAAAATAAGTATAATTATTTCTGATTTACAGATGAGGAATGCAAACACACAGAGACGGGGACTTCCAAAGAATCTACGGGCTGAAACAATCTGTGCATACCAACTTCCTTACTCTGCTTATGACTTGTAAAACAACTTTCATACTCTGCTGTCTCACTAGATCTCATTTTGAAGGCTACAGAGAAAGGAGAAAAACCTAGTAGGAAGTTGGATCTGTACACAGAACATCTCCCAGCTCACCCTACAGAAAAGCACCTGCGCTTCTTCAGCTGTTTCCAAGCCAGCAGGTATAACACAGAAAAGACAGATCAAAGAGACTGTGCTGACAGCCATCCAAAACAATGCATTCTGCAGCCAGGGCAATGAGCCAGAAAGGGAGAGTAAACAGAGGCCTTCAAAGAGCAACATGGGGCTGGACCAAGAAAACATGTAGGCTGAATGGTAGTGGCTCCACCACGCAGGATTTTGATGGCATGACTCAGTTGGCCAAAAATTTATGAAGTTCCCACATTAAGAGTTTTTCCCCCAACGTTTGTGGTCTAGGGATGGGACAGAGAGCCAAGGACTTGTGAATTCTCATTCCCTCTCTCACACAGGCTACTCCATTCCCTCAACTCCTGTGCCTCAAAATCCCACTATCTGTTTCACAGAAGTACTGTGACAGTTACTGGAAATTCGTGGAAATTAAGAGGGACAGGAAGATAGACACATATGAACTATGACAGCTAATACTTCACTTGTTATCAAGTGCGTTAATCTTTAGTGATGTGTAACATGCAAAATTTTTCCCCCATGAATTAACCCAAAATTATTAGAGAGGTAAGGAAAATCTCATGATTATTTATATGCTACATCTCCATTCTCCTAAATACAAGTCATTTTGGGAAAGTATGCTTTTCATTCCTCAAAAAGGGCTAAAAGGAAATAGTAAAAATATGTACTTTTTAAAGTAAATCACTGCCCACCCTGTATTTTAAATAACGATTACAAATGACTATTTACAATAAAAATAGTTTTAAGTTACATTTTTGAGGACACTGCTTGCAGTTAGCCACATTCCCCAGCTGATGCAGGTTAAATAATGTTTCAATATTCTGGAGGATTGGCTGCTGAAGGGGCTATTCAGCAGTTGCAAGGCATGCTCATGAGCTTTCAGGATGGAGTAAATTCAAAGTAGATGATCTCTTAACAATTAAAAAACCCCTTAAAATAAACACATTAAAAGTAAGTCTCTCTTACCTATTAGTATCCTGTTCTTTGCAATGCCGTTTTTAATCTCATCGTTGATCAAGTCTGTAAGTCCCCGGCACATAGAATCAATACTTTCAATGTGTTCTGGACAATCATTAGAAATCTTATATCTGTCAAACCACACAGTGGAAAAGGCTCCTTTCATAGGTGTATATGGTCTGGAGTGGTGGAAGGGAAGAAAACAAATGATTAAGCAAGCATAAGACCAAAAGCCTTCAGCATACCTGATAAATAAAAACAATTCACTTTCTCTCCAGCCAAGGAGAGAAGTAACCTCTTTTGGGTCTAACTCAATTCACATCCAGTCACGTTGCATTTCCTTGCATTCAAAACACTGTCCTTCAAGAATGAAGACAGCATTTGGAAGCTGTATAAAATGCAAGTTTCAGTCAGTTCAATGTCAAGGTTGATCAAGTCAGCTAAACATTTTAAATCCTAAGCCTGTCAAGAGGTTCTTAATCCTAAACAAAGTTAGGGTTGAAATCCACCTTGGAATAGGACAAACTGAATTAACTGCTAAACAAGACAGCTTTGCAGGAGCTAACTTTATGGGATTCAGTTGTCTTATTCTTGTCGAAAACTGACAGGAGTATTTACAAAAATTTCTTCCTTCTGTCAATTTTTCTTAAATAATACAGCCATCCTCACCTTAACGGGCAAGTATCTCATAAAAATAACTGAAAGTAATGTCGTGTTGCTTACTGGATTGGTGCACAGACACAAATTAGAGACATAATGATACTTCCCCCCCAGTACTGTGTTGTCAGATGAGTATTTTAAGTGCTTTAACATGCTGCCCAAACCTCAGATAATCAAGGAAGCTACAACTCAAAGCAGCCTTTTCTTTGTTTTTAAATAAAGATGATGAATAGAGCCCTGAAATCCCAAGAAAGGTGATCTAATTGCCTTGCAATGGCTCTACAATTTAATACCAAACATACTGCTTTGAGATCGATGCTTCATCTCAAAACCAAGCCCCCTAAAATCCTTAATTGCAATGTTTAATAAGGGGGCACATTCTTCATTTTTACTTAAGCTCAGATCAGATTACAATCATTGCCTACAAAGAGACAGCCTTTGATAAATTTGTCTGGATGGGAACCCACTGAAAATGCTAACATTGACTTCTGTGATCTCTCTGGATTTTTTTCAGGATTAAACAAAAACACAACTAACCTAAAATGAGAAAGCCACTATTTCAATTATTCTTAATGAAAGAACAAATTCTGCCTTTATTAATACCAGAGAGGCTTCACATATGTAAATTGCTATTTCTAAACCAGAAATACTGCCACTAGTACAAGCATACAAGAGGCAGTATACTATTTGCATTACGCAGTCACACAAGTCAAAAATGAGAGAACACAGATCATCTTCTGCCCGGTGTCATGAACATGAAATTAAGAAAGTCCATGACGTAAAAGCTGGTAAGCCAAATATAAAGAAAGAGGCAACAAACAGCAACAGATAGGTACTGACAGATTACAGTTTTTCATCTTTTTGAGCACAGCTTCAGGAATGAGTACCTAAAAACCACAACAACCTACTGTTATTCAAAATGTCATACAAGTACGTGGTCAAGTTTAGTACAGTGTGGGCCTTAAGTAGCCCCTCATTTGCTTAATTCAAAACAAACCATATACTTAAGCACCAGAATTAACAATTTTTTTTTTTTTCAAGTTAGCTCTCACTCGTCTATTAAAAAAAGGTAACTCCTAAATTAAAGGAAATTCAGTGGAAATATTTTGTACACCCAACAAGCTAAAGCTAAGTTTAAAAAATGTTATTAAAATGCCTTTGCTTTTTTTGTTTGTTTGTTTGTTTTTTTTTTTAACTTCTCTTTAGCATTATCACTGTCTCCAGGATCCTTCCCAAATGAATTGATCAACACCTAAGAAACAAGATTACACATCTCTAATTCACAAAAGTCAATTTCAAAGATGAGAAATTCCAGTCAAAAATATCAACAACAGCAGAATCAGTGGAGTTTCTGGAAGTCGCTTGGACGATGTGGTGTACAACAGACTAAGCGCTTGGGCAAACAGCATTTAATTCACAGTTTTAGCTTCTCTCTCACTTTTAAATCAAACCGTGTTAAAATGCTTAGCAGCCAGAGTGCTTCATTTTCTAGTAAAACCAGAGTACCTTACATTTGTGTGAGAAAAGATGTGTAAGGTTTTAGTGTTATTATGGCAGGTTGACCCAGGATTTCCATGGAATGAAGATACGTATTTGTATTACATTACAGAAATTTACAGAAATATTAAAACAGGTTTCCCCACAACTGAAAGACAGAATCACACAATTCATAAACAGGACAAAATCCATGATGAGATTATAATACTTGATCAGATGTCAAAACCCAGGACCTTCACCTGCTGTCTTTGCAAATTCTTCCATAAGATAAGATGAAAGACTAATGTGTCTTAAGCCCACAGGAAAAGACCCCCAAGCAAACGGACAAGATGCTTTCAGCTTTCTCAAAAACATCCTTGCAACCACCCTTGATTTCTCAGAAATGCATTAAAAATAACCTTTACATAAAGCTGAGAAGTAAGATTCTTTTAATGGTTCACCCAACTGGCACATCTGTTTTAGTCATTCACCTTGTTCCTTAAATAAATCCCTTTATTAGCTGGCACACTACAACTCAGACATTACCACGGTAAACAAATATGTTTGGCATGGAACCATCTGTACAGCTCCAAGAATACAGAACAAAATTTTTTCATACAATTAAACCACAAAAGAAAAAAATAAAAGAAATCCCTATGTTACAGTGACACGAGAAGCTGGACTGAAATACACAAAAGCAAAGAAACACAGAGTGGAGTGAAAACTCCACCTGGTAAGATCAGCATGGTCAGTTAAGGACAGTGTCAGACCAAATGGTCAGCTTTAAGTTTGGATATTTTGCTTTTCTAAGTTTAATCAAAACTCGTAACATTAGTCCCGATGATTTTTTCCTCTGTGCCTCACTTTCTTTATTCTCTTTTTTAAATTATACTAAAAATAAAGCTCCATGTCTCTAAAATGTGTGCTGCTGAAACTCAGAATGAAAATACATAGCCCCCCAAGTTGTGTGGGGGTTTTTGTTGTTGTTTGTTTAGTTTTAAAGGGGGTGTGTGTTTTTGTCTTGCTTGCTCTGGAGCACACAAAAGATTCAAATCCATATAAGAAAACAAGAATCAAGAACCTTCTCTCTGGGTATATTCAACTTCCAAACTTTTACCCATTTTTAAGAGACATTTGAAACACAATTTCCTACCAATCGAACTAACTCTTAACATTTAAAAATAAAGAGAAGCGAAGACGTAAAGGAGACATGGCTAATATCAAACAGCATTTAAGAAACTGCAGGCACCCTAAAGAAAAGGATCTTTAAAATGCTTCCCAACATCGTCAGATCACTCTAGACCATGTTTTCTGATTACTTTATAGGTCTTATTTTTTAAGGGTGCGCATAGATCTACAACTGTTTTCTCACACATACACTTCTTGCATGAGACTGCAGTTTCAAGAAGATCCTACACACCTAATATTTGAATTTCTTAAAAGGAAAATCTATCCTGTAATATCTCTGTAAGTATTTATCATCCTTTCAATCTTTTAAACATGTATTCAGATAGAAGTAATTTTCACTGTTGATTTCACTGCAAAGTTTCAAAGTAGTACAGATCATTCAAGTTTTCACAAACTGAGGATAGGTTAGCTTCTGCTAATGTCAGTTATGTACTAATGATGAAAATATAATGAAAGCAGGAATAAACGTTTTTGTTTTTTTTTTTTTTAAACCGATGGAAAAACGCATCTTTTTCCACCTTCCTGGAGCATGGATTATATACTCTAGACCTTCTTAATCACGTTTAGAATTGCACTAAATAGTTTGAAATTATCTTAACAGAAGTGGAGAGCAACTGAATGATGCTACACAGGGTTCAAATTCAGACCTAAAAACATGCCAAATTCTATCTCCAAAATGATGCTATTAGCATAGCAATTCACATAAAACTACAGGTGTTTTTGTTTGTTATCCAATGAATCACTGTCCCTGTCCAACATTTTAACTTAAAAGACAAGCCAGCACTACTAGCTGCTTTAAATAAGAAACGTAAGAGTAGCAGACAGCATGTTGACAAATAGTTAATATTCTTCCCCCAACTCTTTCTCCCGATGCACAGCCATATCGCTGCCTTCACACTCAGCACTATGATCACCCTGCTAATGCAGTCACATAAAACCCAGACCACTGGTGCTGGCTTACAGCTTTCTTGAAGTTCCAGACAGAACTTCCTGAGATGTCAGACAGAACTGGGAATTTATAGTGAAGTTAGGCTTCAAGATTCAAAGAAAGAAAGAGAAAGATCAAAATTTTTGAAATCCTTACTTTTGCTTCCTTCCCAAGCCCATCTCCTCTCAGTTAGGAGGCACAGAGTCGCATGAGACATTGTAATGTTGTCTTTTGGAAGTCTATGCATCCCTTCGAGAAAATCTAGAGAGCACACTGCCAGACTGCTTAAGTTCTAGAAGCAAGTCTTGACTCTCTTAAAGCTGATGGCAGGTTTTTCCAATGAAAGCAAAGTTACTCCCCAGTCCCAAATTTTCTGCTAGCATAATCTCACCACTGATACTAGTACACCGCAAAGAAAATCCACTTCATAATTCTGCTTTTTAATTCCCACTGTCTGCTTGCAGCAGAAAGTGAATTTTAAAAGAAAAGGAGGGGGAGGAAGGCAGAGAATCCACCTATTCAAATCAGAAGTATAATTCAAAGCTCTAGTCCAAGGTATATCTTATGTTAAAACTGAGGTTCAACATATCTTAACAATGAAGCTTTGAGGTATGGTAACACAGCATGAGATGTGTCAGAAATTCAAAGAGCTTAAACTTGGAAGTATACTTAAAAAAAAAATTAAAAAAAGGAAGGCAAGAGTGATCTCCATGAGGAGTAATTTTGTCTGTTCCACAGAACAGGCTGTGCCTGTTCACTCAACCACATGCAAATGCTTTTAATAGTTATTCTGGATATATATTCCCTGAAATGAGAGCTAACTGAACCAGTACAGAACAGTTACCTTAAAGAAATACTATGTTGACAGCTTTTGTTACTTGGGACAAATCTTATTCATTCAAGACAAAGGAAGCCACAATACAAGCT